ACACACACACACACACACACACACACACACACACACACACACACACACACACACACACACCCCGTGTCTGTTCCTTTAGTGTCAGGGGGAGAAAAAATAAATAAAAATGTGAAAAGACGCTCACAGTCGGCCCCCATTTGCTTACAGAAACTAATAAGCACATGCCCGCCCACATCCACACACATGCACTCGCATACAAGTACACACGCTCGCTCACTCGTGAGCCCGAGGCAGTCAGGGTCCTTGACTATGTGGCGTGCTGTGATCTGAAATTTTAATGCAACGCTTTAAAGCGCACACAAACCCTCTCTAACCCTGCACCCTCCCAGTCCTTGGAGTCCTTCCTCCGTTTACTGCTTGGCTGAGCAAATCGCCAGTGTTTGGCTGAACACAACTTTTAACCCTTTAACTGCATATATTTTAGTGCGGCAAAAAAATAAAAGGCGCAGACGCCATTCGTATCGTGCACTTTTTCCTCTATAGAAACTCACTGTAAACTTCCCAGTGAGGAGGACTTTGTGTGACAAACCTCCCTCCTCCCTCCCTCCATCCTCCTACTGCATTTGGGTAATCTGCCTTTTAAAATGCGCGCTGACACACCCTGTGAATTTTTAGGTGCAGTGCCTAATGTGTGTGAGCGCCAGCACGCCGTTGGGGAGGCTGTAGCGTAGCCCCCCTGTCTGTGTCTGTGCTGCAAGGGTCTGGCTGGCCGTTTTTTATTCGTTTAGTCCTTGTTAAAGATTAATGATATATTGATCTCTGGGCCCCACAGGACGCTTTAAGAGTGCGTGTGCATGCCAGCTCCTCTTCATCTTTGTGCGTAAATCTATCTGTGTAACTATGCTGATAACCATTTAATTGCAGATAATTAGCCAGCTGTAGACCCCCCCCCCTTTAGTTTTTTCTTGTGTTCATCTTAAGTACCCACAAAAAAATAAAATGGTGMAACACGTATACACACTCAGACACTCACATCTAGCTTTTCTTTAAGCCCCCTTGAAATCCCCAAGGTAACACACTGTGAAAACGCAATGTGGAGAAAGCCACAGAAAGAAAAGGAATGGAGTGATGAAAGCTGGGAGGGGGGCAAAAAGCAAGCCAGGGGCTCGAGGCCTCAGCGAGGAACCGAGGGATAAGAGTGCGATAGAGGAGGGAAATGAAAAACTAAATTGGGGAATATCCTGCTGGCACCGAGGACAGAGGCCGAAGAAGAGCAAGCGAAAAGATGAGAGACGGGAGGTGGAAGGAGAAAGAGAGAGAGAGAGAGAGATGAAAAGGCGGGGGCAAAAAGTGGAGGGCAGTGTGTTTAGGAGGGGGAAAGAATAGAGGGTGGAAAAGAAAAGGAGCAGTTGAGTGAGGAGCAGGAGATAAGAAATGAAAAGGCTAGTCTGAGATGGAGGAAGTACAGTAGGGGCTTAGAGGCTCTGGGTTTGTTTCAGAAGTCCTACGCTGATGTCATTGGGTGCATCCATTGGCTTTCATGGCACAAAAGAAGTGTGTTTCTGTGGTGTGTTTTTTGTGTATTCATGTGATTTTTAGTGTGTTTGTCCACCTACTTTCTAGCGCCGCTATGTGGCTGTTGAGTAGAGTTTTTTTTTAATGGGAGAAAAAAAGAGAAACTTGATGTCACCAAAGAGCCAATCTCTGTATTGTTGAGTGTTTGAGGCTTTGATTCCACTGGGTGCGTTGGCAGGCCATGGACAGTTCCTGCCCTGCTCAGCGACTGACTGACTGACTGTATCAGGATATGCAGAAAATCCCTTCCCTGTGATCTGCTTTGGCCCTCAGCCTCTAGCTTTGCCTTTATAATTCCCAAATACAGCCAAATCCAAAGGTTATTTAAGAAGACTTTGTGCATCTGTACTTTGATTAAATGATCACATTTGGAGTGAGAGAAGCCCGCTGTATTTGGGTTGCATTACTACCCATAAACGCTCTCCATTACAAGCTTTTCTAGCTTGTTGGCTCCGTGACCTCACATTAGTGTGTGCGCGGGAGAGGGGGCTGAGTGCACACGTGGGTCTCGCACACTATATAGCTTAAGTCAGGATAAAAGCCGTTGAGGTAGTGTACTGTTCTGTTGCTTAAACACACACCAGATCCTTTTAACTACTAAGGAAAGGAGTAAAAGCAGCGAGTGAAAAGCTCTCCCGCCCACATCTGATTCCTTTCGCTGCGTTGCCCGTGGCACAACGTTGACCTAATATCAACCGTGTCTGTTTTGTTAAACACATTCAAATCAGTAGTACTTTAGCCTATGGGACATAACACTGTTTCGCATACTGTGACACACAAATACAAAGGCTGCGTGGGCTATTGGGTTCACTATCAAAAGACTGCGGTCAAATCAAAAGGTCTTAATGGACGCAGCAGCTCAAACATGTGCTCGCATTTTTGCACTCAGTGCTGCACATGTATTCTTGTCGGTATGTAATGTTTTAAATAAACATGCCAGCGTAAGCAGTGCAACTTTGCACTGTGTTGAACGCTGTTYGTGAGGTTATGTGCTTTGTAAGGTAAAATGTGTTTTAGGGCCCAGACTCACACAGTATTAATTACCAGGGAGGCTAACTATACTTAGTCATTAGTTTGTGTTGTTTAGCCTGCAACTTTTGTGAAGGTTTAAAATAATAATTAAGATGCTTTTAGGTGGAGTTTTGTGGAAAGGTTAGGAACACATATTTGTTGTAGGCAGCCCTTGGAATGACTTCATCAGAATGGTTTTATCCTGGCAGATTGATGAGCAAACGGCTGGTCCGAGTGGGCTCAAGACAACAACTTCAGTCTGTAAATTATTTTATTTCGTGCAAATACAGTTTTAAAGAATATGGCTAGAAATAATCAGATTTTATGATTCCTGTTGGAATAATAATGCTGGTAATCACCAAGTTGCTTTGGAAACAGCTAGCTACTGCAAATAACTATAGAAACCTGTATGTCATTATGTGATGCAAGTCTGATCACATTGTAAAGGTTTATTAAAAAACTTTCTAATCAAATATACAAAATATAAACTGAAGTTTTAAGTCATCAGTAGTTCACTTTAGTCTCGGAGTACCTGTTAGCTTGTCGATTTTGTCAGATTTAAACTGAGATTTTTCAAAGAGCAATCTATGACAGGTAAGATATTAACTTTTTATAAGTTTTCCACAGAACCCCACTCCAATGATCTAAACAAACAGTTTGACAATAATTGGCAATTTGTTTTGAATTTTTCTTTAATTCCTCCATGTTTTTATCTTATTGTTTGTAGGCAGGTGGTAGGTTTTCACATCACTCATGGAGGAAAATATTTCCAAACTCCTATGAGAATTACGATGCCGTATTTTGACGTCTGACCTCTAGCAAGTGAGAGGTGAACCCTGGCCTCCATCCAGACCATTAGTCAGACACAATCACACAGCTTCATAGCAGATTAGTCTGCTGTATTAGGACTTAGAGCTCTATTAATGTAATCCCTCTGTTTTAGTGTGGCCTGGGCTTTAGGAGCTTACATGTGCACACCCACAYGCAAAGACACACTTAAATACATATATGCACGCATACAAGCTGTTTGGGTAATGGAGTTCACAATCAGTGGATTAAGGTGAAATTTAGACAGTAGCTTAATGGACGCAGCATTCTTTAAATGTGTATCCTCTGAATATAATTGTTTGGTGTTCTTTTCTTTCTGAGAATTGTCCACTCATTTATCCCGTTTGTTTTTTGTAAGCTCATTTTGAGACTCTTAAGTCTCCTGTTCTGTGATTTTCTTTAGATTAATAATAATGATCTTTTTCAGGGTCGATGAGATTGAGATGGTGATGACAGACCTGGAGAGAGCCAATCAGGTAACCCACTCAATGCTAAACGGCCTGTTTTAAAAAAGAAGTAGCATTTAAAATTAATCTCTACTTCATTAACTTTGTGCATTTTGTCACCAAATGCCAAAACATTAAACCTGTCCAGTCTTATTAGTGTAAATCTGACTCATTTKTTCCAAAACCTTGACGATTGTCTAAAATAAAGACTGTATGATCGAGTCACAACAGCACTGTTCAGCACATTTCTTTAATGTTAAACATGGCTCGCGCTGTTTTTAGTTGACCTCACTCTGGCTGTCTTGCTGCAGAAAATATTCACCTGAGTACCAAATGTGCATTAATCTGTGCCTGAAAATAGTCCTGAACAAGCGCACCATTTGTTCTACTTTCAGTAACATTAATATCCAGCTGTTTAAAGGATTTATTGAGTTCTTTCTAAAAGAAAGAAAAAGCATCATGTATTTTTGACTTGCTTAAACCCAAGATGTGCTTGTTTTTCCAACAGCCTGCTTTTGTTTTTGCTTTATAATATTTTTAGAAGTAAGAAAAATGTGAGCTATTAAACAGATTTGCTTACAGATTCACTATCTATAAAAATTTGCCCTACATGAACATGTAATGACTTTGCTCATCACCGTGAGGGTCAGTTTGTTTTATGTTATTTTTCTGCACACCTACTCGTTCAGCTGAAATACCCCCGCCTTTGTGTAGTTAAATATTCCTGTACTATCTGTTAATGTCATTGTTGTTAACTTTCATTGTTAGTCCAAGAGTATGATTTTGGTTAAAGGGGTAGCATAGGCATGTAATGTTAATATTAGCCCAAAGGTTAACGCTTCAACTATAATGCCACAAACGCACTATTCACACTTCTGATCTGAGGTTTACGCAGGGTGACAGCGTGGCCTGCAGCTCACTCAGACTTTTTATATGCTTTTATAAGAAGAAAATGGAAAACAGGGTGTTTTTTTTCTCCTCTTGCGACTAGCACTTTAGCTCCCACCCAGTCAATAACAGCTCTCAATGTGGTTGCAATTAGAAACGCTGTGAAATCGGCTCCCTGTAACTTCTAATGATGGGAAGTTGGCCTGTGTTGCAGATGATTCCCCACACAGAACATGGCTGTGTGGTTCTAAAWTTAAGGCAGAGGGAATTATCTAAGTTCAGTGGGATAATTTTCTATTTTTAATTATAAAACTGCTATTTCAGTTCTTTTTTGTTTTCTGTGTATTTGTTTTGGCTCCCTCCCCCCATACAACCAGCACACCGCAATATAAAGGTGTAGGCACATTGTGTAATGGAAAATCTTTTCTTTTAAATTTTATAACCCCTCTGCCCAACAGTCGTGTGGTGTGCTCTTTAAAACGTGTCACAAACAGCTCAGTGATCATTGACCCAGAGGTGCGCAAGCTCTTATTCTGCCTTTTTTTAATATATATTTCTATGAAATTAGTTTCACTATGTTTGTTAGAAAAATTAAGACATGTTTAGATGGGAGGAAAAAATCTTAACTTAGAGGGTTTCCCTGAACTTAGTGCTAAATCAAATGGAATGAAGCTTTTGAGTTATTTTTGAGAAAGTTGAATGTAAGCATCTAAACTTTGTTTTTGATTCTTGAAGATGTTCAGCTTCTAATTCGAGGAGTTTCCTCAGTTTTAACTAAGAAGGAGCCAAAGACAAGAACATCTTCAGGAATAATAACAAAATAAACCCAACAGTTTCAACCCACCATGATTACATGTCCTGGACGACTGAGAATTTACACCAGTATAAAAAAGATTTTTGTTTCCCGTGTGTTTGTTTCCTTCCAGCGAGCAGAAGCAGCTCAGAGGGAGGCAGAGTCCCTCAGAGAGCAGCTGTCCCTGAGTAACCAATCCCAGCAGCCCAGCAGTCCATCCAAGGCTGACCCCGACTCGGTAACATGTTTTATTTGTACACCGGTTGGTTGACAAAACGCTGTTGATAAACTCAAACTTTTATTCTTTACTGTGATGAAAGACAGTTACCTGCTAAAGCAAATCAGCCTTAGCAAACAGAAAAACAACGCTCTCTGTTTCACGTTGAGCTAAAGTTTGATGTTTTAGTAGCTGAGGGGGCTTGGACTGATCAAACCTTCATTTTCACATCACTGTATCTACTAATTTAAGAAGCTAGAGATCACAAGTTGTGTGATGCTGCATTTATTTATTGTAAGCGTTTATAGATTTTTACTTTTTTTATAAAGTTTATTTTTAATTGATTCATCCTCACGTTGRTGTTTTTGATCACGTAGTCCTAAATGGGTGCATTTATCATTTAAAGGGCATCGGGTGGTCTGTGCCAAATTTCCCCATAGGGACAATAACAATGCGTATTTATCAATGGAAGTTAGACTCTTGTATCACCAGTGATGGTATTACCAATTTGGTAGAACATGATTGGTGAATAAATAATGGATTTATTAGGCTTGTAAACCAAAAAAAGCAAATAAACAACAGAGTCAGACTGTTGATGCGCCAAACTATTAACTTTGYTGCAGTGCAGAGCAGTTTTAATTTGTTATTTATTGGAATATTCCTCTRAAGGAGAGGGGGTTGTTTATATTAGGGAGATTTTTATATAAATAAATAGCATATGTTTAGTTACATTTTAGGTAAATAAATAAATCTGCAGTCTTCTCTGACCTGCAGGAGCAAGCAGCAGAGGCGGCGTCCCACTCAAGTCTGGAGGCGGAGCTCAGGGCCAAAGAAAGGGAGACCGCCCAGCTGGTGGAGGATGTCCAGAGACTGCAGGCCAGCCTGACTAAACTCCGAGAGACCACCAGCTCCCAGATCTTACAGCTGGAGCAGCAGCTGAGCAGTAAATCTGCAGTTCTGAAGGTACAAACAAAAGCATACAGCTCCTTTTGAGGGGAGGGAAGAGAGTGCTTTAAGCTAAAACTTTAAGCAAGAATATTTTAATTCTTATTTATAATAGTATAGATTGAAGTGTTCGAAGTGGACCCATGTCATAAAATGTTACTTTATTTAAATCTGTTTGTGAACTGCAGGAACTGGAGGAGAAACTGGAAAGTCAAGCTGACTATGAAGAGGTCAAGAAGGAGTTGAGGTGAGAAGTTAACAAGACAGGAAGTGTGTGTTTTATCTCTGATTTGAGATTTATACATCAAAGTGCCCAAAAGATGGTGAAGCTGTTTTGTCTTCAGCTTTATATTGTCTCACTTTGTCCTCTTTTTAAAGAGTATTATGTGATAAATGTGTTTTCAAATGATATTACAGCTTTTTTTAATCTCCTCAGTATCCTCAAGACTATGGAGTTTGGAACTTCTGACTCAGTGCAGGTAAAAATACTTTATTGTGCTGTTGAAATAATACTCTTCTGGTTAAGTTATTGGCATAAAAACTGAATCTGAAGTCAGAGGAAAGATTACAATGAAAAAAGAAAACATTTGAATCTCTTTTCCACCTGTCCGTCTCACCAGGACTCTTCCAAACCTCTGGAGGTGCTGCTGCTGGAGAAGAATCGAGCTCTTCAATCAGAGAGTGCTGCTCTGCGCATCGCCAACACCGAGCTGAGTGGTAAGTCTGGCTAGATGACAAGTGCTTGTTCACGAAACTGAAACCCTGACCAGAAAAGCTGGAAGAAGCTGAATTCAAAACACGCTGATGGCTGAAAAAAAAAAGTCAATTTATCATCAGGTGAGGATCAGCAGGGATGTAGAACGAGCATCAGGAAAATAAAAACATGCAGAGTGGCGTGCAAAAGTTTTTATTAAAAGAAAAACAAATAAAATGAGCGATTATGTGGTTAGTTATTTTTTAAAATCCAAATCAGCAGTTTTTTAACAGACTTAAAACTCATTAAAAACTATGACAAGAAATGAAAAACATTTGGCTGCAAAAACTGCCAGTTTGGGGCTCTTTTTTATTGAATATTAGCACATTTTTTTCCACAGAAACAAAATATTTGATCAGAGTACCAAAAACCTTTGAYGCCACTGCATGTTTGCATACAAATACATATTTTCTCTGAGAATACTTTTAATTTCTTTATTAAATATTTGTTGAATCGTACTTCCATTTACAGACTAAAGGATTGAAAAATGCAAAAAGCATGTTATAAATTTTTCATACAAGTACATACAGTAGATGCTGCTTGAGTCACACATTTAACAGAAAAAATCCACGTTAATTCACCAGCAGGAGGTCAACCTGGAAGGTAAACTAAACCGCATTTAACAAAAACGAGGACATCACACTATGTTCCTTACATCAGGACTTTTGCCCTCTGCAACTGTGTTTATGGGTTTGAAATGTCAGCGCTTTAGGCTTGAATAGTTGAATAGCTTAGAATTGATTAACATTCTCAGTGAAAGGGGCTTACTGTCTCATTGAATCATGTTAGTTTCAATGGTTATGCATTAGAATGTTTCTCCGCAGCGCTCGTCATCAAGATGAATTCACGTAGTTGGAAGTCTGAGTAAATGTAGTTTAATCTCTACATGATCTGGTGATTGTAAAAAAAATACATTTGTGTGTTTAACTGCTAAATGAGAGCTGTGAAGTCTGTGTTTGGTGATGAATCTGTCATTTTTGTTTATTTATTTTTTAACCTGGAGTGTTTTATTTTATAAGAACTATAAACTGTGTTGCTCCATCTGCAATGAAACGAGAACATCATGTTCTGCAGCAGCAGAAATGAAGAGGACTCACATTGGCTTTCTGAGGACAAATTTGACCTGTGTTCAGTTACCTCCACATTGTCTGTGGGAGAAAGAGAAACCGAGCCCTGGGCCAGGCTAATCTGCCCAAGTGGCACGGAGACAACTGTTTTGTTTGTCCTTTTTCTTTCCTTCCAGGCTGTGTCTTACAAGAAAGGTTGAAATCACAAATGCATGGGCACTTTGTCTGGGGGGGCTTGGCAAAAAAGAAAAAAAGAAAAAAAAAATCAAAGTTCACTAATTTGGAAAAGACTCCACCAAGATAACTTTAAACTTTTTTTATTCTCTCTCTCTTGTTTTTGGAAACCCCTTTTTTGTTGACTCCCCCCATAATGCATTGTGTGTTTAACCTTTCTTGTAGGGTCAGCCGGGCGAAAAGGGACAGAAGAGTCCACAACAACAAAGGAGGACACGGTGAACAGCGACCCCTCGTCCTCGCCCACCCCTCCACCTCCCTCTGTCCCTTCCTCCTCTCAGCTGCCCCTGTCTCGCGCTCACACAGACTCCCTCAACACTGCCACAACCAGCGGTGAAACACACCCCTTCACTCCTACGGGCATTGGACAGGAGCTCTACTCCCCCATGTTTCCTCTGGTGGGGGGAAAGATGGCTCTGAACTCCTTGATTCAGCGGCAGCTGCTCCAAACCTTCTACTCAAAAGCCTTGCAGGAGTCATCTGGAATCCACAGTGGAGCTCTCCTCTTCACCCCCTTTACTCCGGCCCTCTCCTCCATCCCTACCTCCACGCCCGGCTCGGGCTCTGCTACCATCCCTCTGGCAGCCAGCAGCCCTCAGCCACCTCCGGCCAGTCCTGACATGGCTCCCGTCAACGGGAGCAGCACGGCGGGCAGCGCCCCGTCCCCGTCACCCAGCCACTCCGACGCCAACACCGGGAGCGTGTTGGACGGCGAGGACATGGACACGGCGGAGATCGCCCGGCAGGTGAAGGAGCAGCTGATCAAGCACAACATCGGCCAGCGCGTGTTCGGCCACTACGTGCTGGGACTGTCCCAGGGTTCGGTCAGCGAGATCCTGGCGAGACCAAAGCCGTGGAACAAGTTAACCATCCGAGGGAAGGAGCCCTTCCACAAGATGAGGCAGTTCCTCGCCGATGAGCAGAACATCCTCGCTCTGCGCAGCATTCAGGGACGACAGAGAGGTCAGTCTATATGTCGTAACATGCCTCTGCGTGAAAGAGTGTGTGTGTGTGTGGATGCGTCTTGTGTGTGTGTTTGCGCACAGCCCTGCACAGAGCTATTGATTAGCCTGTCATTACGGACTAGCTTTTTTATTTTTCTTTCTCTTTCCTGACTCCCTTTCTGTGCCACACCTGTGTGTTGTGAACGAGTTCCTGGTCACGCACCGATCCCAAGAGCCTCTCTCAGCTATTGTGGTCAATACAGAAACCTTTCACACATCGATAGTATTGATCGGAGGGAACTAGGAGGAAGCCAGGGGTACTGTTAACTGTGGGTAGATTCGATTAGCCCGGGCCTGCTTTTCTTTACGCATCAGGACATTTCTGATTGAAGGTGGCCTCAAAAATGAATTCCAAACTTAACCTGCACTTCATCTGCCTTTGTTTTAAACTTGCTCGCTTGTCTCTCAGTTCAGCTGTGGCTTTCTATTTGAATATTTTTAGTTGGGGTAGAAGTTTAACTACAACTGTGGCCACAGATGGTACAGATCAATGTGTTTATGGGACAATATAATGTGCATTGGATGGAACAAAACAATCCTTGTATTTTCAGGGCACCATGTAGTCTAGCTATAAAAAAAAGAAGAACACTGACGCAGCAGTGCTGTAACATAGTGTGTGGTATATTGTTTTTAACAGAGGGCTCAGGCCAGCCCCAGCTTAGCCGAGTGTTTCAGGATGTTCCGAAGCGGAGATCCATCTCCGATACACCTTCACACACAGGTCTGTCCCCTTCACATGCAGAGATTCTAGCACGTTCTGTCTGTGTGGCATGTTTGTGTCGGGGTGTATCCATGGTGTGCGTGCGTGTGTGTGTGTGTTGTCGTTTATTAATTGTAGGCAGGCTTACAGATATAAATGTGCCTTGAAGGTAACCACACAGTCCCAGTGACTTGCGTCAAAGGAAAATTCAGCATGTATATTAGGGCATTTTATTGGTAGCTGTTATTCTGTGGGGCGTATTTATTTGAAGTGTGCATGTGTGAGCTCCAAATGGACCAGAGAAGTGAAGACAACCTCTTCAGAATAGCTGGCTTGTAGTTTAGTGTTGGGAATGTTCTTTGTGCTGTGCTATTAGTGTAATTATTTGATGTCATCATTGGCTCCATTATTCCTCAATATGCWCCATCCCCGTGTTTTTAATCTTAACGTAATTTCCTGTCTCTTCCCGTCCCCTCGTCCTCTCCTTCTAGGTAACATCACGGCTCGTGTCCGCACCCCTGAGGCAGGTTCAGATGAAGCTATCAAGTCCATACTGGAGCAGGCCAAACGAGAGCTGCAGGTGCAGAAAGCYGGTGAGTTGTAGTTTATTTCCTCATCTCCAGAACAGCCCGAGCGTTAAAGAGGCGCTGCGTTATGTCTGTGTCTTCACTGACGGCCAGTTTCCCCTCTTTAATAGACTTGTCCCACGCTCCRCCGTCCTACACGGGACTGAAGGGAGGGGGCGGAGGTGGAGTGGCGAGCGGCGGGGGCAGCGGCTCAGACGAAGCCATCCGCTCCATCTTGGAGCAGGCGCGCAGAGAAATGGAGGCGAACCAGGCTGCGCTGGAGCCCATCCTCAAAGCTTCATCCTCGTCTTCCTCCTCAGCCTTGTCTCAGAGGGACATCCTGAACTCTCCCCTCACCGCCCCGCTCCCACCCTACAACCCCCTGGCGCTCTCGCTCAAGAAGCCTCCCAGCTCCCTCCTGTCCTCGCCTTCGTCCCCGTCTCCCATCCTGGACTTCAGCTCCGGTGGGAAGAGAGAGGGCCGAGCTTCCTCAGGGATCGACATGTCGGCCGACGGATTGTTCAGGCAGGGGCGCGCCTCYGAGGGCTCAGCCCGCTCCGGGAGTGCCGCCGGAGTGGGCTAYTGGAGGGAGCAGTGGTGGAGCAACATGCACTCAGACCCGCGGAGGACCATGTCCAGCCAGACGGGAGAGGAAAACCATCACCAGGAGGACTCCAAAGAGGTGAGGGCGTTGGTGAAATCAAAACAAACCTCTCTTCTCTGTAGTCTTCCTGCTCTGGCTCCAAACCAGTTTTCATGTCTGAACCGTCCTCACGGTGTGTTTCAGGGAATACTGAGCGACAGCCTGTCTCGACACAAACCGTGGAACAAGTTGAACCAGAGGAGCAGAGAGCCATACCTTCGTATGCAGCCRTGGGTCAACGGAGACCAGGGGCAGAATGCACACGTCCAGCAAACTCAGAACCAAGGTACAAACACACAACCTGTGTGGACTCACACCATGCCATGGTTATTCTAAAAACCTGATTAGAGCTGGTGACTAGTTGTTACTGTCAGTCTGTCACTCAGCCTTACCCACCATCCTCCTCCTGGCCTCCCTCCCACCATCCCCCCTTCCCCAGTGCTGTGGCAGTGTCAGCCAGCAAGCTGCTGGTTTGTCATGTCATAGACAAGTTAGTGTTGCAGCGCCAGATGGCAGCTCGGTGTGTGTGTGTACGTGCATGTGTGTGTCTCCTTTTCTCTCTGGGGGTGTAAACAGCAGCTAATGTACACTGACAGCTCCTCATGACTGCTCTCTTCCAGCCTGCTGAGCTGCACAGCAGTACTACACAGACACAGACAGGGAGATGAAGGAATAGGAGGAGGAAGCCAAAAAAAAAAAAGCTTCAAACTGAAAACTTAAGCACCCTTTGCTGTTGAACAGGAGTTAAATTGCTCGACGTGATTCGACTGAAGTTCCTCCTGATCCCAGCGGGGAGAGGAGACGACRACTGTGGTTTCTCACATGACGTAAGGCCTCACCCTAACCTGTGTGATTCTTTGTTCTCCTCGAAGCAGAGGGGACCCCCAAGACCTCAGCGAGCTGCAGCCCGGCTCCCGAGTCCCCGCTCAGTTCAGCCGAGGAGTCCGTCAACGGCCTCAGTGGCGATCCACTTGCTTCGCAGTCCTCGGGTCTTAAACCTCCATCCGAAGATCCCTCAGGTGGGGAGTCCCAACCTGGAACCCCGCTGCCTCTGCCAGGTCACTCAGGTCTCAGCATCCAGGAGATGGTTGCAATGTCTCCTGAGCTCGATACGTACGCTATCACCAAGAAGGTGAAGGAGGTGCTAACTGATAATAATCTCGGTAAGACGCAGTGGGATGTTGTTTTGGTGCAGTTGCGTTCAAAAATCCGTTCTGTGGAGTGACCGTTTCTTCTCTTTCCTCTTGCCTAACCAGGCCAGCGACTATTTGGGGAGACCATCCTGGGTCTGACTCAGGGTTCCGTCTCAGACCTGCTGGCTAGGCCTAAACCTTGGCACAAGCTGAGCCTGAAGGGCAGGGAGCCGTTTGTCCGMATGCAGCTTTGGCTCCAGGACCCACACAGTGTGGAGAAACTCATGGACATGAAACGCCTGGAGAAGAAAGGTGTGTAAGAAAAGCTAGAGGAGATGGGAGCACTGAAAGTGGACTCTTTATGGYGCAGCGTCCTGTCGGAAACAATGAGGATGAGTCAGAGATGCCTTCATCTGATCTGTTTCAACATGCTTTTATTTTATAAATACATTCGTACACAAACAGAAAAACAACAGCAGTCTTTGATTTGCACATCTGCACACAGTATCCTTTGTGCAGGACAGCAGAGCATGTTGTGCAGATCACAGTCATCTTGGTGTGATGTCAGTACCAATCAGGACTGCAGACATCACGTACTATATTCAATGTGACAGCTCAGGGACTGCCGGGGGCCTGCTTACTCACAGTCATCAGCACTCCTCTTCATCACCGTCATCATTATTATAATCATCAGTGTCTATAAGCTTTTATTTTAATCTTTTTTTTTTAGTCCATAGTCCCTCTGTCACTCCACGGTCTTCTGTATTATGCTCTGTCTGCAAAATGTGTTAGTCAGCAAAGCCAAGAGACCTCCCCACTCCCAGCAGCCTCAGAGTGACCCCTACCTACCTGGATCAAGATCAGTTTATCCTTCTGAAATCGCATAAAACGGTGCGTTTGACTACGGATCGGATGGTATATTTTGCATTTAGGCTCGTTTCAGACTATCGACCTAAAGTAATGCATCCAAACATCAATGGAGCAAACGTTCCGGGCCACCAGCACAGCCCCGAGTAAAGACATGGACCTAATCCAGACCAACCGTATTTGACCTCTCACTCTGGCGGTACAAGCCTGCGAGGCARCGCGCAACTTTCAGAGTGCTCTAACCTTGCTCTGAGGGGTTTATTTCCCCCCATCTCGCAACACTAATATATCTGGCAGCGCATATCGGGGTTGAGAAAATGTCAACCTCGTGCGAAGCTGCCATGAGCTGTTCRTTTTCAGCTGCTGGTGCCTGCAGTAAATAGAGCTGCTCGTGGGCTGCAAAATGGAAGGGATGAGTTCATTGTTAAAATGGGTAAGAAAGATAAGAGCGCCATCTAGTGGTGGGAGAGGGAACAGACAGGGTTAGTGTTCAGAGGTCCAGGGAGGACAACTTTCTCCTATATTTTGTTTTATATTTTCCATCGTTTCTCACAAATTTAACTTCTTCTCTAGCATCGTCATTTTTAAYATTAAAAGCAATAAATAAACAGTTAACAATTTTTTTTTTATTCCAGGTGGTTGCAGTAACTGTTAATATCTTTATCCAGAAATAAAAGCTGCATTTTTCTATACAGGACTCAGTTTGTTGTTCTGTGAAGAAATTATTGAAATTACTTGAAAATTCTTACATATGTAGGATTTTAATTGGATAACGTTAGTCCTCACGGTAAATAATTTTAGTCAAATTATCAAGGTAAACATGTTTGTCTATTTGTTAAATTTTAACTTTTAAACTTTTGTTTTTTTTAGACTAGAACTATAATTTTAGATCAAGAACAATTTTAATAGTTRAAATTGCATGTTTACTTATTTTCTAGTACATTGTTCAAATTTGTATGTAAAGTCTATATTATATGTAAATAATATACCATCTTCCTCAATAAAAGCTGGATTATGAATAGTTTTATTTAAATTCGTCTTGTTTGTTCATTACTAACACTTTTTGTTTTGTCTTTATGTTTTGTTTTTACCAGCGTACATGAAGCGGCGGCTGAGCTCCCTGAGTGATGGTCATTCTGTGGAAGGAGCTTTGGTGGGCTCTGATTACATGCAGGGCTCCCAGAGTCCGGGACAGCAGCAGCTGAAGAAGCCCAGAGTGGTCCTGGGCCCTGAAGAGAAGGAGGCCCTGAAGAAAGCTTATCAGCAGAAACCCTACCCCTCCCCTAAAACCATCGAGGAGCTGGCCTCCCAGCTCAACTTGAAGACCAGTACAGTTATCAACTGGTTCCATAATTACAGGTCGGTACCTGGAAATGAAACATGTTTTATTTGTTTTTTTTTTCTTCCTTGTTTCCTGTTTATTTGAACTGTTTACATAAGTTTTGTTCAGTGACATTGTTAGGAATGTATTGTAAGACTCGTAAACTCTGAACTTGTTTCTCCACCAGGTCACGGATCAGAAGAGAGCTCTTCATAGARGAGATCCAGGCAGCTGGAGGGGTGGTTCCAGGCAGCGACGGGGGATCTCCTTCTCTACGCGGGTCCAAATCAGGAGAAGGGGACAGCTGTGATGGAACAGAATCTGAGGGAACAGTGGAGAGCCGCCAGGGACTGGGCATGAGTCTGGAGGATCACAGAGGAGCGTGCAAAGACCACAGTATGGAGACTGAGTCAGAGGTCGGGGGCTCTAATAATTCCCCTGCCCAGTTAGACTGCACCACCTCAGGCTTAGCCGGGCCAGGCTCCAGCTGTGGACAAAGTGGACTGGGGCTCTTCAGCCTCACAGAGGCGTCCTCCAGTAGCTCTGCCTCGAGTACAAACATCCCGGCCTCTGGCCCGACCAGAAACCCCAGGGACAACAATCTGCGCAAGAAAAAAGCAGCCAATCTGAATAACATCATCCACAGGCTGGAGAAGGCTGCCAGTAAAGAGGATCCCTCAGAGTGGGAGTTTTAGCTCCCTGTCTATCCTTCGTCCCTATCCTCCCATAACCTCACGACCTCTAACCTTGGACCCCTCCTGCTCTGTTCCAGTCGGAGAGTGGACACAGCCAAAGTCAAGCTCAGCAGCCATTTTTATTACAGAGAAGCTTTCCAAAAAAAAGAGGAAAGAAACAAAGAGTGGTTGGCAAAACCCTTCAAAAGAAGATTTACTGAACACATGGAAGAACAAAATAAGAGAGCTTAAGTGTCTCTCCTGTTAGTTATTTTATTTTTTAACTGAGTTTTTGTTTTTGTACTGAGAAAAAGCACTTAGCCGTCCTGCTGGCCACTGGCCCTGCTGTACCTCCCCTCTATCACCAGCCACTGGTGCACCAGACTGGTTAGTCCTGAGCTGGGGGGTCTGACCCCGCAGCTGGGGTTCGAACCTGGACTCAGTAACACAGGCCAGGCCTGACACAGCAGCTGTCACAGTGATGGACACTGATAGACGATGGAGACAGGAACTCTCTTACAAGAACCCTCACTTTGTTAAAGGAGATTTTTTCCCGCTCTTCTTCTCACCTCCCAAGTGTCCACAAACCTCCCCTCACTCAGTGAGACGCCTCATTTTTCACACTGTAGAGTGACTGTTACAAACCCTTTGCCTTTTTCACTCACTGCGTGTGCGTTTGCGTGTTAGAGGTTGTGTCAGTGTGTGCACCTGTGTGTGTGCGTGTATTTGTTGCGTGTGTGTGAACACCTAAAACCGGTGTGTACTCTTCTCAATGGCAGCATGTTTTYCTTTTTTTAAGTCACTCCTACGCTCTTAAGAGGGTAGCAGGCTGAGCTGCCACAGTTACTGATAGAAGACAGATGAACTTTGACCTGTTGTGTCCCGCATCCTATCCTGCTGACAGCCATGTGATGGCCAGAAGGATCTTTTAATTCCTCACAAACAAACGCACTCACCTGAAGAGGAAGGAAAGAAGGAAGGAACCCTCTCTTTTTGCCTCCTTAGACCCTTCTTTTTAGGATGAAGGATCTCTGTTTTTGATACTGCAATTTGGTTGCCAATAAGAGATTGCACAGTCTATTGACTCTAAAGAGTACAAAATAGGGAATTCTAGGAAACATTTTTAATTAGTACAAAATAAGAACAGAAAACAAGAGAATAACAAGTTACTGATTAAAAAAAAAGACGACAAATTAGAGTGGAGTAACGTTGCAGCACGATGAACTTGTGTAGTACTGTAGCTGTCTGACATGGTGATACTATACGTGTCTCTTGTTGTTTTGATTTGATTTTTTTAGGTTGTGCACGTCACAGCTGTACCCAGCACTGGACCTGCTGGGCACGTGTGCACCGCTAACAAAATTCTCTTCGTTCACAAACGCATCTTTTTATAGGCCAAAATCAGGAAGAGTGTGTGTTTTTGTGCGTCCTCTTTGTGTACGTGTGTGTGTGTGTGCGCGCGTGTGTGTGCATTTATACTTGCCTGCATGTAAGTCAGGGTTGAGGTCAATTTGCTCAATTTAAGACGTAGATTTTAAAGATTCTCGACTGAAAAACAGAGGGGTTTTCAGCAAGTTAATTGCTGAATTTTTATTATGATTATTAATATTATTATTATTTTAAAAAATTTCTGCTGGTTGCTGTCGAAGTGAGTTCACCCCAGCCCTGGTGTGAGTAGTTTCCACTCTCCTCCAGTCTTTCCTGTATCCAGGGATGTGTGTGTGTGTGTCTTATTATTATTATTTTTTATTTTGCATTGAATTCTACTGTAAACACTACAAACTTTAAGGCATATCACCTCCTCCCTGTCCCACACAAACCCTCAGTGCCTGTCAGCCCACTGCCTCCCCATTTTTGTGTGCGATTTTTTGCGTGGATGCACGTACACGCATGCCTGTCAATACATGCGTGTGCACACGTGTGTGTGTGTGTGAGAGAGAGAGAAAGAGATCGAGTGTTAGTTTCCAATGAGTGGGGTCATATTTCTACTTGCACACACTACTAGTGCACAACTAACACCCTTCTTTAAGCTGTTTGATGCGTTACCATTGCATTAATAATCTTCTCACAAAGTAGTGTAATACTATGATTTACTGTAGCTTGGTTTTATTGCATTTATAGTTTGGTTTTTATTCTGCTTATTTATAGGTGCTGTATTTTTTTTTTCATTTAATGTCTTATCATATGAGTTGTCTATTTTTTAAGGGATTATACTTTTCCTGAGGGCAAGTAACATTTTTATTAGACGTATAGACTGCCGGCAGTATTGGTTAATATTTACAAAGATGTACTAGTTCTCATTTGTTTGTATATTCATGAATCCTAAAGTTTAGTGTCATTTCAATCGCTTTGAAAATGTGTTTGCTACAGTTCATGCTCCCATAAGCTTAAAGCTCTCACCGCGACTGTTCTGCTCTTAAATTGCTAGCTAGAGAATCAAAGGACATATCAAGATCAGTGAATATATTTTAGTCAGGTTTTTTTTCTTTTCTTTTTTCATTTATTTCTCTCGAGCAAAGCCCGACACTAGCGCTCAGCGGGGCGCGCAGCTTCATTTAGCCAGAGTCGCCCGTCCATTAATCACACAAACATAATTAACCGCTCCAAATTTCTACTCAAATAGGTCAAATGAAATTACCTAAACTTGAGAACGCGCGCGAGTGTGTTAACTTGAAAAAAAAAAAAGAGGTCATATCTGCCAAATTGAGATTAGAGAAGTGTACCAGCGAGCGGGTGTGCTACGCCATATCGAGCAGAGATAGCCAGCCTATGATTATGCAGAATTTCTATTGCAGTTCGTAACGAAGCACTTATGAGGATCTTTTTATGACTCAACCTCGGACAGGGTCTGTAAACACTACAACAGAGTACGATCCCAGGATCCTGGGAAGTGTCTGCACCCCCCCCCTTTTTTTTAAAAGAAAAGAAAAATCGTGGTTGTAAACCAAGCACAGACTCTTATCCACCAACACTAAAACTGAAACATAAGGTGGCTGTACGCATCTGTCCAACTGCAGACACACAAAACGCTGTCGTCCTGTACAGTTGTGGATATTCTGAGATGTTTTTGGGGTTTTGTTCAGTCTCCTCAGTCCATCCTGAAGCCTTCCTGTTCCCCTAAAGCGTGCATCCTTTTTGACTTTTATCCAATAAATAACCAATCGTGTCGCTGCACTGCGTTCTGACGCGTTAGTTACAATTGAGATTTTCCTGATGTGTCCGTGAAGCCTTCCCGAGCACGGGCTCCTCCTGCAGGCGACAGATGTTAGACGTCTGCCTGCTGCAGCACAGTGAAGGCTGAACTCCAGCAGCTCTGACAGGACAACCACGATGTGTTTCAGTAACGAACAGCTCCTGTAAAATCCACATTTAATGGCAAAGTCCGGATCTTTGAAGTGGAGTTTTGTGGAAAGGCGATAGATAATATCTTACCTGTTGTAGATGGCTCTTTGAATGACCTGAGTTTGGGGAAACTGTGTTTTTCTGACTGGGTTGGTGAGTAAAGCAGAGACCAAAGTGAATTGCTGCTTTTAAAATGACTTCAAACTCAAAACATTTTGAAACTGCTCTGATGAAATGTTCCTATAAACCTTTACGCTGTCAGCAGTTCTGCATGACAGTTATTTTAGGTATTTCTTCAAATAACCATACAGTTCTACATAAATAACTGTAGGATTTAAAACTTACCAAGGTTTTCTTTCTGGTCGTCAAACTTCATTCAGTTCTCTCTAACACGATGCTGCTTTCTCTTAGGAGCACTTCCTGAACTTGTTGTGGAAAAGGTCGCACTCTGGAATGTCGAGGTTAGATAGTCGTGTTCCTGCTGCTGTGGACTGTTTGAACACTTCCTTATCTCTACTCACAACTGGACAAACATCTACATGTCTGCCTGTTCTGAGGCAGGTTTTTTAAAATAAAGCAAAGTTAACTTTATTTTTAAATTGTGCTTTTAAATCGGGTTGAAAACCTCAGATTGTTACCAGCTGGGGCTGTGACCTCCATGTTAATCTCCATAAATTAAATTAAGTTAAATAGCTATTGCTATTGACAGAATTTTTTATCGTAATTATTACAAAATTAAAACGAGTAGATTAATTGATTACAAAAACTACCCGTTGTTAAGACCATTTGTGTTGACTTTGTTTATTAAGATTATTGTCAATATTTGTATATAAAGCTAATAGATAATTGTGGTCACGATATCTTGCATAATTCTTTAGCACATTAAAAACAAAATGCTTTTCAATTTAGTCAGACTAAATGTTAAAATACTGCAATAAAATATGTGTAAAACACGTTAAATCAAGTAAAAAGATGAGTTTTTAATCAAAGATTTAAAAGATTTTTTGTAGATAAAATAAGTCGATGTTTTGATCCCGTCCCCACTTTAATCAAACTGCATCACTGTTTCTCCAAACTGAGGTTCAAAGAGCYATCTGTAACAGGTAAGATAATAGCAGTTCAGAGCTGCTCTGCAGAACCCTGCTTTAAAAGAGACGTTTTGCTTTTTTACAGCCAGATCCCCCCTCAGTTCACCAGAACCAGGCGAGATCATCAGATTTGTGCCTTTAACTGCCAAGCAGGGCACCAAACTAGTGATGTCTTTCCAGTTTCAGCTGATCTCTCACACCTGGGTCTGTTTTATTTTTTATTTATTTTTTCTCCCAGCCTTCATGTTGGTACTTAAACTCCTCTGGGCTTTTTGGAGCGAGGTCAGGAAAGCAGATCCAGAGGAGGGCAAACATTGTGTGTATCCTAACGACTAACGAGTCATGTTTCAGTCCAGGTCTTATTTCAGACAGTCATTTGTTTGTTTCCCCCCTGAATACATTTCTTATTTTGTACATAAACTAGCAGCGATTTAAAAAAATATATATATATAAAAAAGAAAAAAGGCCAGAGCGTTGAATGAAGGAGGAAGCATGCAGAACACAGCATACACTGTAATAACACTGAATATCTTCACAGGGCATTTTTATATTTTCCTTTTTTTTTTTCTTTTCTGTTTATGTCAGGTTTGTTGTGACGTTGATAAACGGCACTACAGGTATTGATAATGACGCGTGCCAATTCTGTTTTTTGCGGGGAAAAAGAGACGTCTGTAAATAACGGTCGATCGATGGAGTAGCCGATCGATCTCGCTGTCGTCGCGGCGTACTTCTGTTCGAAGGCAGGAGCAGAGAAGAAGAAGAAGAAGAAGAAGAAGGGACGATTCAGGACTTTTTTCCATGATCCACAGATATTTTTCTACAAATTTAAATCAGATGATTCTATACACTGTTGAATAACATTGTAAAGGTGTAACAGATGCTGTATATCATATCAATGTTTTCTGAAGTCGTAAAAAGCTTTACTGTATGATCTGTCGAAGTCGTAGTTATTCGTTTTTGACACGTTAGTTGTAAATGGAAGCCCGAACAGCAGCACTGGTCACCATATTCAGGAAAAAAATAATAAAAACGACAAAAAGAAAAAAAAACAAAAGATAAAAGAAAAACCTCAGATGTTTTTTGTAATACTTTTAGAATATATCTTATGAAGTGGGTTTTTTTTGTAAGGAAACACTTTCTGAATCAGCGGTGCTGTATGCAGAGCACACTCAGTAATACATTTACACACAAATACAGCACAAATACGCTCATCCTTTTTGTTTTTAAACCTCCCTCCACTCAGTCCCACCCCCTCAACGTCGGCTGCCGATTTTCAAGTCTTAAGCCATTTGTGCGTCATCTTTTTGTCACATCGTGTTTAAATGAAAGATTTTAACAGTTGGAGGGCGTTTAGGTCGACGGACTCGTTTCGGTTAATCGATTCGTTTTTAGTCGAGTCGAAGCAAAAAAAAAAAAAAAAAGCCAAATAGCGATGTAATCGTCCGCTCCTGTTGGTGGTGGTGGGGGAGAACAAAAAAGGGTTGGGTTTCTGTGTTTTCTCTACCTAGTGTTGTTCTTCTGTTCACCTGTTAGCTTGAACCACGGTGTGTGTAGTTTTGACAACCAAAAGGCCTGGGGAGACCTCCTCCACCCCCCACCTCCCTGTTTTGGAAAAGCTTTAAGATGCTCGATGAGGCTTTAGAAAACTTCAGAGTGTTTCTAGATGATTTTTTTTCTTTCTCCGATCCATCATCAACAACGTGGAAGTAATAATTCTCATCACTTCTCCCACTGCTTATTTTGTGTGTGAGTGTGTGTGTGTGTGTTGTACAAAAGGCTGCATGACTGTAAAGGGATGTTACAATGTTTTGATTTCTTTCTTTTGTTGGTTTTTATAAGCACTTCTCTCACTCCTAAGATGTTCTAAAAAAATTTTCAGGGTTTGCCCTACTTTTTGTTTTTTATTTTTGTTTTGTTTTTTGTTTGTTTTCCTCATGTATCATTGTTTCTTTAGCCTTTCTATTTACTAAACGTATCATGTTGTTTGTTCTTAGCACTGTAAAACAGTCCCTTCTACAAACATTGAAAAGCAATATCACTGTATGAAACGTTCACGATGTATTTGTTATGATTGACATTTGATTCATCATCATTATTATTATTATTATTATTATTATTATTCACATGCACCCTAGGTGTGATAATTGAAGTAAATCTCTTTTATACAAATACTAAAAGTGTGCTTTTGTTGTTTTTATTTCTGGAAAATGTTAAACACACAAATGGTTCTTTTAAAAAAAAGTATTCTCAGAGAAAAGTGGTTAGGGTTTCAGAAAGGTTTTTGAAGTGATTCGACTGTGTTACAGGTGAGTCGTCTCGACCGCTGCATTAGATTTTTGTGCAGGAGGAAAGCTGCCTCCTAACCCTTAACGGTCTGCGTGCCCCGCAGGACGCTACTCGGAGCTCCAGGCAGAGTTTTCGGCGGCGGTGCGAACCAGCGCCGAGCAGAAGGAACTGATCGTGAAGCTGGAGCACGACCTGAGCACCGTGCAGGCCTTGTCCTCCCTGTCGCGCCCCGACGCAGACGGGTCGGAGGTGGTGAACATTCCGGAGCCCATCAAAGAGGCCACCGCCATGTTTACTGGTAGGTCTGATGTTCTCATTTAACCCTTAGGAGACGAGATGGAAAATAGTTTTTTTTTATTTTATTTTGTTGTTGTTAATTTGAAGTCTTGGACAAGGAAATGTTTGTTTTTCAGCTGGTTCAGGCGTGAGCCTCCATCCCGAGCTCCCCCAGGGCCAGATGGACTCTCTGCTCTCCATCATCTCCAGCCAAAGGGAGAGGTTCCGCTCCCGCAACCAGGAGCTGGAAGCTGTGAGGCGTACAAACACAGAGCACGTTTTCCTGTTTGTCTCTCTGAGAAATGACTTCCTCATTGTGTGTGTGTGTGTGTGTGTGTGTGTGTGTGTGTGTGTGTGTGTGTGTGTGTCCGTGTCCTCCCTCCAGGAGAACCGCTCCACGCAGCAGACCATGCAGGCCCTGCAGAACGAGCTGGACAGCCTGAGGGCCGACAACATCAAGCTCTACGAGAAGATCAAGTTCCTGCAGAGCTACGCGGGCCGAGTGCGTCAAACCGCCGTCACGTTCGATGTTTAGTTGAARCGTTTGCGGAGAAGCTCAGATCTGTGCGTGTCGCTTTCATGTTGCAGGCCGGCGGCAGCGACGACACTGTGATGCGCTACTCCTCCCAGTACGAGGAGAGGCTGGACCCGTTTTCTTCCTTCAGCAAGCGGGTACAGGACCAGCGTCCACACCTCACACAGGAACAATCAGGCTCTTGTTTTCTCACTTATTTAGTTCATTATCAAAAGCTGAAAGGAAAAAAAATTCTTATTTATTTTAAAATGGCTCATTTTTCTCTGCTGACTTCTGGAGTTGCAGGGAAATCGCAGCGTTTAAGGCGGTGGGTGATATACTCTCCCACAGCTCTCCTAAATGTTTCAAACATAAAATAAAGCTCCACGTCACACACTACTAAACTTAGTCCTTTCAGCTCAGAAACAGAAATAATCTGAGCAGTTCCAACCTCAATCTGCATCACTTATCACGTTCATTGATTTCTAAAACAATCTGAGCCTTGAGACAGATGTGTTTTGTCTGCAGGAGCGTCAGCGCCGATACCTGAGCCTCAGTCCCTGGGATAAAGCCACTCTGAGTTTGGTGAGCCTGGACCTCCCTCATATGCTGCGATTTAATCTGAGCGCTTTAATCCTGATGTTTTGTTTGCTCCTCCTCAGGGTCGTGTGCTTCTCTCCAACAAGATGGCCAGAACCATCGCCTTCTTTTACACCCTGTTTCTGCATTGTTTGGTCTTCCTGGTAGGTTTTCTGTCCCTGCAGAGAGAGACCCATTCCTTCACCCCTTCACCCTGAAGACCTGTTTTTATTTTTATTTTATTTTATTTATTTTTTACTTTGACKTTCAAGGTTCTCTACAAGACGGCCTGGAGCGAGAGCATCGGCAGAGACTGCACCACTTTCTGCGCTAAGAAGTGAGTTTATGCTCCTCGTGTTCGACTGAAAACAGCAGATTCTCAGATTATAAATCCATCTTTTTTCTCTCTCAGGTATGCCGACCACCTCCACCGTTTCCACGAGGATGAGCAAAACCTCTGAGCTGTCCTACGTTACCACCTGCACAAAGCTCCGAGCATGAAGTTCCTGCTTTCTAATCCTGTCATATCTAAACTCTCCATTAGGGGGCATTTTAGAGCTGGGAGTTATTTAAAAGGGGTTRTCTCTTACTTTCTAGTGGTGTTCGAATTTCTGGTTCCTTTTTCTTTGTGTTTGGGTTAATATAAAATTAAAATACAATAATTATTAATAATCTCTGGTTTAAACCTAATTTACAGGAGTAAAATGTAGTTTAGTCCATCATAAGGGACCAGAATACTTTGATTTACTGTAGATTTGTTATTTTATTAATCAAAGAGATGTTTGGTGTTAAAGGTTAACATTTAGACGATAAAAGTTACGGTGGTGGAATTGGTGCAAATACAGGTAAGAGGGTTTTTTTGTGTGTTTTATTAGAAACAGATTGGATTGATTAGTGATGAAAAGGTGCAGTTTTGATTATCTTTGAAGTCAGCTTGTTACTGATTGAAGACGAGGCGGTTCTGTTGGTTTAATGGTTACTGTCATCACAATAAGTCAGAATATTTGGGTGCATGTTTACCAGGTGACTCCTCCCTTTCCTGTCTTTGCAGATGTATACTAATAAAGACTATGCAACAAGTTTCCTGTGTTCTCGTCTTGCAGATGTTTTGTTGTTTCTGAACAGATGCGGGGTCTATCTTAAGTAAGATGAGGTGTTGTGATTAATGACAGGGTTCCTGCAGGTCCTTAAAAGGCATTGAATTCATCAATCTAAAGTTAAGGCCTTAATTAGCCTTAAAATGTATTAAATCAATCTTTCAGAGGTCTTAAAAATGTTAACACATTGTAAGGATGATTGTAATTTGTCTCAAATATTGAAAGATTTAATATCAAATGTTTCTAATGCTAGTTGTTTTAAAACAAACATTTGGATAAAATTATTGCTAAATGTTGTTTATTCCATTTCTATTTATTGTGAAGTTGGTCTTAAATTTAATTTCAAGTTGCATTAAAGCAGTCTTAAAAACTCAAATTTACCTTGCCTTAAGCTGTAGGAACCCTGAAATGAACATCACACTTTCTGATGTGGACGTTTGCATAAATGTTTCATTATTTTTTAAGCCTATAAATGACAAAATTATTGTATATTTGTACTTTTTAAAAACTGGATCTTACATTGACCATTGATCTTGTAGACCCTAAAATTCACATAAATCAGATATTTGTCATACAGATTATTTACATACAGACATGGCCTGAGTGCTGTCGTGTTTGCTTTAAACGTTTGCACACAAGGCTGTAAGAATATAACATTCACGTGCAGTATAATCTGAAGTTCTGGTTGACCTTTTGACCCGTTTTAACATCTGACCCAGGAAGTAGGAGGGGTAACGACTGTTTACTATAAAAAAACTTAGTTTTGTTTATTAGGGATTTGGGCCTCAGTGGAGGGACTTGAATTCGCCCCCTTCTTCACAGAACTGAATTAGRCTGCATTATTCATGAGAGCTCCTCTTAGTGTGCAGCCATTAAAGCCTGGCAGACCTCCTTCACCTTATCAGTCAGAGCCACAATTACATCCTCACTCTGTCCTCCACAGCAACATTCACCTTTGACCCCAAGCTGAGCTGCACACAGACCATATCCACACCATCACCTCCATATTTCTTATCTCAGCTTCTGCAGCTGCTCTAACAAAGGTCTAAAGCGAGCCTAGAAGCTGCTCTTTTAGAAAGAAAGCAAAGCGTAAATCTCCACCTGCATAAAAAAAACTTAAATATTAGATCATCTCATATTTTCACCTTCATCTCAGCAGAGGGCAGCAAAGTTAGTATCACCCAAACTGTTCATTCAGCTGCCTTGTTTCAGATGTTGGTTTTACTGCAGCTTCTGTGACATTTTTTATGAGTTGTTTATTTAACAAACAGGAGAGGTCAGTGACATGAGGATGAACCATATACAGCCACACATAACCACCTTCCTCATGCTCACTGTTCTGTTCACTCATGTTCTGTCTGAAGGAAGTTACTCACGTCAACATGTTTGTGTATTTATCTCATTAATTTCTCTGCCTGTGACGTTAAACAATTTGTTTCTTGCAACAGCTCTGAAAATATGTTTTTGGATCCRAAACCCTGTAAAGAAACTCAATGAAATGTGATTTTGAACTGAGGGAAAATGCTTTAAACTTATAAATAACCATCTCTCTGCAGTAGTGAATGGTTAATTCATGAAAACTGAGTGGAGATTTTTGGAAATTCATTGTTTGTTGGTTTGTAGTCAACAAATAATGTGAAAAAAAAACCTGCATATGTATGTTACATGTTGGAACATCAGCTGTGTCAAACATCCACCTGGGCCTAACGTCTTGTCTTTTTTTTTTTTCCTGAATGAATGAATGAATGAATGAATGAATGAATGAATGTCTGGTTTGTTGTGGAGCCTCCTCGGCTGTTCAGGTCCTGCAGGGAGATAAATTATGTAAA